TGTGTGTGTGTGTGTGTGTTTGGGTGGGTGGCAGAGGTCCAAGCCCGCAACATAATTTGGAAGCCATGCATTTTCCCACTGAACTATCCATTTTCCCACTTGAGGGCATTTACATGCTACGAGCAGATATTATGGCTGATTACCTTAAGCTGTCAGCCTCTTCCAAAACAAGTTGATCACATTGAAGAGATGAGAGAGTTCTTTGTCCAAGTGTCACATAGGTCACACATAGGATGTGCCTATGATTTTGGATTCTTTCATGGTTACATGTTCCAGCTGCATCCCAAATCTGCTTGTTTTTTCTAAATTCACGAAAACCCTGCCATATCCATCTATGTTAAATTAAATACAATTGTGAATTGGTGATTATGGAACACAGACTAATTCTTAAAGTGATTCTTAAAGATCCATAAAGTGTCAAGCTTCCATTAGTATTCGGAGATACCAAATTTGAACATCAAATTCCTTAGGATTAGTGGTAAGCCAAGTTAGCAGCAACAATGAACAAACTTTTTATTTTCCTGTTCCTGATTTTATTATTAAAGTCTGTCAAGTTACAATCTGTTCTGTTTCTGCAGAACTCTGGTGACAATGCAGAAGGAGCACATCAATTAAACATGAAATATCAAGACAAATGCATGAATAAAATATCTAGCATTCAGATAAACTTCCAAAAGCCACTCCTCAGCAGCAAAATGTCATTAAATCCTTTAGGAACTCATTAATAGGTTAACATTTGGAAGAGTAATTACAGTGAGAGTTGAATTCCAATTAAATAAAAATAAAAAGACAAATTGTATATTACATAATCCCACTGAATGCTTGATTAGAATCAATGTAATAAAACATCAGAGGCAACAATTTAACATTGACATTGTTATTAAAGAGCACCTATACACATGTACACGTACATATAAACATGTTTAATATGCATGTATGAGTACTTCATAAGTTCTGTGTATACTACCATATTTCCAAGGTTGTGAAGGAATACACTGAGATGAAATATAGGATCTCCATAAAAATGGGCAGAATTGATACTTTAGTGCCAATAAACTAAATCCTAAACTAAATTGACTGTGTTAAATCTTGTATAGAACTAAATTTCCTAAGCATTGACCCTGCTCTTTATTAAGGTTCAAATGTATTTTCAAATTATTTAATATGATGAACGTCTCCTTTGACCATTTGTGATCAATCTCCCAAAAAAGGGAAATAGTATGATAGAAGAGGGGATAGTACACACTAATTAATAACATTTTCTATAATGTGTCTTTCTTTTTAGGCATAAGCCTTGAACTATAGAAGTATATGCTAGAATCTGAGTTATTATTGGAGATAACTTTACTAATTGCAGGGGATAATGAGGATTTGATCGGCTAAGTATGTATCAGTTTTGGAAATCTCTCTTCTCTGTTACTTGGCTGAATCTGGAAAAGACTTCTGCAGTGTTTCAGAAGAGCTACAGCTGTTTTCGATGGGGCGCGAATGAAATACATGAAGAGTAACAGGGTTGTAAAAGTCGTAAATGCCAAATAAAATGAAGTCATCAATGAGTAAAAATGATTGGGGTTTTAGATTTGCAATTTTCCTTTTAAATACCCTTATTGATTTGTTGCAAATACTGTTAACCCTGTATTTGGCAAATGGTGAGGACATTATGACTTGTGTTCTCATTTGTAATAAAACAGATTAACTTGCTGTGAAATTTTAACTAGGCTGAGACACAACAGTAGCCACCTAATGAACCGAAGCACATTGCAGTTAAGTAGCTAAATAGATGCATACTGATTACAGGGCTGAAAAATGGATCTGTTTACTTGCAGTGAAATTGTTCATAGAGCTATTCATTATTTTAGGAGAAATTAAACATTCCTAGTTCCACACAGATATATTTTTTTAAACCCACCTAATTCTTAATCAATATAAGGCTTTTGACTCAGCTACTATGGTTTACATGGTGAAAAAAGTCTGACTCTGTGATGCCTTAGGAAAACAATAACAATGAACTGAATCTTGATTGAATTTTGAAAGTGCAGGGTATAAAATCTTAAAGCAGAAATATTACTTCATGGAAAATGTTGCTGTCACTCTAAATCATGTTCCCAAAGTTAATTGTTTCACCTAATATGCTGTTGAAAATGTCAAAGAAGGAGTTTAAGAGTAAATTATTTGAGTTCATATTATTTGAACATATGCTAATTTTAAATATTTTGGGGAATCCCTCTTTATAGTATTTTATTTTTTCTGTTATTCATAGCATTTTTCTATTTGTGTAAATGTTATTCCATTTTTTAAAAAAATCAGTATAACCTTCCATTTTTCATTAGGCAGAGTGGGCAAGAGCAAGTATCACTGTCAGTTGGATTCTCTTGCTTTTCCAAACCGTCAACTTTATGAATCACTCAAAATTTCTCCATTTTTATTATGGCAGCATATATCGCTGTGTGTACAATTCCTATTTGCCACTATACAGTGATTTTGTTTGTTCAGTTCTATTTTTGCTCAGTAATTGCTCTACTTTGTGCTCATCGATTCATTCAGAGGTCAATTAGAGATAAATGTAGTTCATTGAATTACATATTTTTTCAGCAAATTTCCAATGTTAAAATTCAAAGACAAATACTGAATGTTCTACACTTGATGCACATATTTTGGCATGGAATCATTGAGACTACACAACACTGAAAGGCAAAAAAATAATTTTGACCTCATATATGAAATTCCTTGCATTGTTGTGTATGCAGTGTATGTGTAAGTGTGTTTGTATAAATACTATTTGGAGAATATGTTTTTAATCATGACAGTTTAGGTTGAATTTCGCAACTGATAAACTACTAGTCTTTTCAAAAAATAAAATGATGTTATAAGGGCTATATATATCTTGCTGTCCATCCCCATGCCACCCCTCCAAAATACAAGTATAGTTATTTGGAAAAAAATACTTGATTCTTTTCTTCTGCTTTGCTTATGTTTCTTTTGACTTTGCCCAGTATACATAGTGTTACCCTATACACACAGAGTTATTTATCTGTATACTAAATGTAACTGAAATGTGTATTTCTCTGTCTTAAGACATTGTTTTTGAGGCATGCCAACTGTTAAAGAGCCTTTAAAGTGTAGTATACATTTACAATTCTCAATATTTAATTAGTATATAATACTGTGCAGCTAATATACTCAAAGTCTATTCATTTCACTAAAATTATGAAATGTTAATTAAATGCTAAACAATAATATAAACCACCATTTAAAAAATGAATATGCCATTGATGACTGCATTAGTTTTTTATTGTTGCTATAACAAATTATGACAAATTTAATGGGTTAAAACAATGCAAATTTATTATCTTTCTGTTCTGTAGGTCAGATGTCTGACATGGGTATCACTGAACTAACATTAAGATATTGGCAGGGCTGCGTTCTTTCTGTGGCTTCCAGGGAAGAATTTGTTTCCTTGCCTTTTCCATCTTCTAGAGGCCACCCACATTTCTTGGCTCATGGTTCCCTTCCCCCATCTTCAAAGCCAGCAACATTGTATCTCTCTGATCATTCTTCTGTAATCATATCTCCTGCTGACCTTCCAAGATAATCCAGTGTAATTTCTCTATCTCAAGGTTCTAAGTCACATCTGAAAAGTCCCTTTTGCCATGTAAGGTAATATATTCACAGGTTCCGGCTGTGAGAATGTGAGCTGGGCATCTTTCGGGGGCCATTATTCTGCCTGCCACAATGACAGACATCCCAAAATGTTAACTTCTACTAATTAAGTAGTAAATTCTAACTCTCATGCTATTACTTTTGCATTAAACACGCAGTTTTTTTAAGGTCTTTATAAATTTGGGGCCTCTCATGCAAAATCAATGTGAAAATGTACAAGCACATTATTTGACAAACTAATTGTTAATGTTATGATGATTAGAATACTGATGTTGTAATTACAGATAATTAGACAGAACATTTAATTTAAGAAATTTATTATGGATGAATGGAATACTTTATAGAACGAACATTCCCTGTCCCAGCATGTCTATTACCCCATCACATTTACTGCATATATGCATAAACATCACAATTTGATTCTATTATTGATCAAATTAACTGAATGATTGTCAGATTTATTCATCAGTTTGTGATACATAAACATAGTCAATAACTGCAGAGTTTTATAGCAGTATTCATAATCACAAAACTCTTGAAAGCCATAACAGTTATGTAAAAGAAATATTTTATTTTTAAATATAGGAGCCCTGCCAATATGTTTATTTTATTCAAATTCATTTTATTCAAATTCATTATTTCATTCATTTAAATTCATTATTTTATTCAAATTCATTATTTAAAACTATAAAAAATATAAAACTATGAAAATCTAAACAATACTAAGGAATTGATATTGATAAGTCTTAGTGTTAGTTTAGAAAACCCATGATTGTGTCCTGTGACTAGCAAACTTTTGTTGGCAGAATTCAACATATATTCTACGTGTATTATTTCCATAGTTTTTGTCTCTGCAGAAAGATTCAACCTGTACCAGGTGCCACTGTTTGTGAATTTTATTCCAAGGTTCCCAAGTGTTTACCTTTGGGAGACCTCCTTCTTAGAGAGTAGGATGACCCTCCAGGCCTTGGCATGAACTTTATATCAATGTAGAAATTTTCAAGAACAATAACTTTTACTACACACCTATGTTCATAATCCTTTATGAATTTTGTAGGAAAGGAGATGGAAACTACCTTTTCTTGAGCCTGTACCGTGTATCTGGCATGGCGCTGAGCTCTTTCACCTTCCTTTCTTATTTAACCCTCAAGATATTCCATTAATTTCTCAAGAACAAAAAATTTGCTTTAGTCTAAAGATAGATGTTTAAGACCAGGTATTGTGGATGTGTGCACTTTCAGGATAAGTGAGAGGTCAACATTTCAAATGTTATGGACTCAACCAACATGAAAAACTTGGTGCACAGATGGCATTTCCTTTTGTGTTTCATTTTGCATCAGGAACGGATCCCAGAGAGTCCTTCTCCTGCTCCCTCTCTGGAAGAGAGTCACCGCCCAGGGAGCCAGACCTCCTCCCACCCCAGCAGCAGTGTGTCCAGCTCTCCCTCTCAGATGGATCACCATTCAGAGAGAATGGGTGAGTATCTCACCTGAAACAAGGAATTGAAAGATATTCTTTCAGGATATTCTTCATTAGGCAATAGAGAGGGAAGAAAGAAGCTAGGAGAGCTGATGCCTCCTTAATATAAATGGCTTTTCGAAGTGATTGTTTTTTATTGCTGAAACAATATGAATAGCATAATAAAACTTAAAGTGTTAGAAGTTTGTTCTCTGGAAGGGTCTGCATTTACTATATCACGGGATCTCATGGGAAGAATATGATGGGATTTTTGTAGAGTATACGTTAGTTCAATATGTTGGTATTTAACAGCTGGTGTGATACAATTCAGTTGTCACATTTCCAGCATCCTTCGAATAATGGAAGATAAAATATCCTTTAGGCAGTCGATCATTTAAGAGTGATTAAAAAGTGAGTCAATACATGATTTGCTACAATCTCAACAATTTAGATCACAAGTATTTAACATGCCTTTTCCTACGTTTATATTTTTATTGTCTTAGGAGTCTTATACCATAGACACTGTTCCAGAAATACTATAATGTTATTGTCAGTGATGTGGCATATTGGAGACTTGAATCTAGCCATAGTTCTGGAACTGACTAGCTATGAGATATTAGGTATGTCACTTAACCACCACGAGTTTCTTTACATAATATACGGAAATAATTACTGCCCTGCCTAATGCCCTGGATTTTTGTGAGGTCAAATGAAATAATATGTAGAAAAACACTTCAGAGGTTTAAAGTGCTAAGGAAATGTGAGGGATAAACACTATTTTTCCCTGTGTGGCTTTACCTTGATTGCTTATCATCTCCTGGTGTCTGATCCTACTTAGGTATACAGACATTACCAAGTGCATTCAGCTGTAACAGATTCTCATTTAGTATGTAATAATTAGGAACCAAGTGAGTAGGTAAAATCTTTGTTAATCTTCTGTACCTACACAATCCCATTGCCTACGTATTCATTTCCTTTATGTAAAATGATTTCTGCTCTTCTTTTGGTCTTACTATAGAGATGTCCTTTATATGAACTCTAAATTTTTACACTTCGTAATAGTGATTGCTTCAAGTTTCTCCAAAATAATGTTTTTTGGGGGGAGGAGAGGAATTCGAGGGATAAGGGAAAGTGTTAGGTTCTGGGTTTGTGCTGGGGAAGGATGAAGACGATTTTTTCCTTGTGGAAATTCATCCAAGTCTCACTTAGCCTATCAATATTATATATTGTTTGTGGCTCTTTAGCTTCATAGTGAGCTCAGTGGGTCTCAAATCTGGCTCCCTATTATAATCACCTGTGGAGAGTGTACAACTCTAGATGCCCAGGCTACACGCTCAGAGTCTGATTTACGTCTGGAATAGAGCCTGGCAGCAGTGTTGTCTTTTGCTTTTCAATGTCTCCTCAGGAGATTCTAAGTGCAGCTGGAGTTAAGAACCACTGAGCTAGAACTTGAAGCTAATGGCCTTAAGGGAGTAAGTTTAATTCCTGGAAGAGGTGACAGAGGTCTTCTAGCTTTACTCTGTTTTGTGGACACAAACTACCTGGTTGTTATAACATTGTGTGCAATTGATTCAAAGGAGTCTGAGCAAGATAAGCGGATATAACTGGATGACCATTAATGAATCAAGAAACCAAAACACACATTCTTCTGTCAGAATAATCTTTGTATTGATGAGGGAGAGGGGAGAGAGAGAATTATTTATTGGGTGCTGGCTAAAAGCAGAGCAAATAGAGAAATACACTCTGTGATAGATATATCCTAAGGGATTGGTATCTTACACCTAGAAGTCAAATCAGATATTTCCAAAGCAATATAATAATTTTTAAAAATCTTGGCAACATAAAACATTTCTAATTCCATTGGCAGTACTTAGGTCCTATATGCACATTTCACAATTGTCCAAGCGTGATAGTGAGATTGTCTATAAATGAATAAAGATTTGATTATTTTTGGTTTAAAGTGACCATCTTTTATTTACAAAGCTATCTAATGTTTAATAAAATATAACTAAAGAGAATTAAATAATAAACTATGAAAATTGGCATGTTTTTCCTCTTTTAATATAATGTTTTGTGAGGATACACTTACAATAATCACCAGAAAGTTATATATCTATCAATTTTGCTATATATATTTGCAAAAACTCTATAAAGTGAGTTAAATGCATAATTATTTCAAAATCATGAAATTAAGTGGTAAATTCTTTTCAGAAGTAGTTTGAGAAATATATTATTAATTATGGAGGTAAATAGCTAATTTGCATATAGATTTTAAAAGGAAATATTTAAATGTTTTAAAGGAAATATATTGGTATTATATAAGTACGCTATGTTAATTGTACTTTAAAAATTCACATGATTAAGCAGCTTATTGACTTTTAAATTATATGATCAACAGACCAACAAATGTCTTTCCACTGTTTCAGAAGTAGAAGGGTGTAAAATACATGTTAGTTGTTATTGGAGTAAAACAGCTATTTATTAATGCTTTTCTGCCTTTCTTTTGGGTGTTTTGCAAGAAAATTACTCAGTTATATCTCTTATTTATAGTTATGATGCCCAACAATAGAGATGAACTTATTGTTGATCAGGATAATGGACCAACCATCAAAAAACTCCAAAGGGATAATAAAGGTAAAATGCCTTTTGCTTATTTGATGTACATAAAAAGATCAGATACTAACTCAATTAACTTCCCGGTGCTGTATGAGGCATACACATTTCCCTAAGTCAGAAGAGATCTATACTGGCTTTGGATAAATTCTTTTAGTAGTAAAAAAGAAATAATATTTGCCTGAAGTTTGTTTATTTAATGTCATAAATTACATATCAGCCCGAAGTTTGTCTGTGCCTGTGGTTGGAAACTTCACCCTAAGCCCTTTTATTACGCCTGATCAGAGGCATCTGACTCTCTTTCTATTATAAATGGACTTTGTTAACTATGTTTAAAAGACACCATTTGATGGTTATGTTTGAAAAACTGGATTGCTGTTATGGGGGAGAGATGTTCTCTTCAACCCTCAAAAGCAATTTTAAAAATATATGCTAATTTGGACATTTCAAATGAAAGCTTGGCAAGTTACTTCAATCAAATATTTACCTGGAATGTTGATAAATATGATGCCAATCTGGCTTTTGATCCACTGAGGTATGTGTAGAACCTCTGCACAGTATCCAGATTCTTCTTAGGCTATCTGTTTAAAGAAGATATAGAGAGGATGACTTTCAAAGTCACACTATCTTGATATAAAAGCTGAGTACAACTTTATTTAAAAGGCTAAAAAGGTAAGAGAAAAGGAAAATATGTCAACATATGTTATAGGCTATGCATTATGGCTGTTACCATGAGTTAGACAGTAAATCTAAGCTAAAGAACACAAGCTAATGTGTATTTTATCAGATCATCAGATGATCTGTTTGTACTTCACTATAGGGTGCATTTTTCTATCTCTACTACAGATGCTCATAATGTATAGAAAAAAGACTCCATGAGCTGAAGAGTTGATGGAACAATTTTTATTTCTTCTCTAGACTGAACTTGCTTCCTAATTACTTAGATGAGAATTTTAGTTAGAATTTGGAATAGTGTATGATTTTAATTTCATTGATCCATGGTTGGTTTCCTTGCCACATGTTTATTCTTTTCTCATCCAAACAGTGAAAGGCTATACCCTCTGGGGCTCCAAGATGTAAATGATTGATTTCAGAATAGTTATCAGAATAGAACAAATCAGGTTCAGTATATTAAACTATCCAAACTCTTACACAGGTAATGAAATTCTAGTTAAAGATGAAACTTCATTCATAACTCAGCAACAATTGATTCCTGGGACCTCTTTCCCACCAAGTCATGACTATTTGAAGGACAGCTTGGTAGTAAAGCAGCTTTTCTATGAAAATCTCAAGCTGTACATGATACATATGATTCCATTGGAACTGCAAACCCCATAAGTCAAAATGGCATTTAGGACTGGCCTGTGTGCTGCATTGCTCAAGTACACACTGCTATGTCTTATGAAAAATCAGCTGGAGTGCTAGTACAGATGTACAGTAACTGATTTTCATAAAATACACAGTGGTATGTACTGTCATTTCTGAATCTCTTGCTGTGGAATGGCACAGTTTTACTCATTTCAATCAAATAGATTGGTCACACATCCTGATGAGGATATTAATAGACAGGAGTTGCATATTCAACTGCACACCAGTTATAGTGGAAAGCTTTTTTTTAAATGAGATTTTCTATGTCAAGTTCTACCAGTTATATTTGTGATATTAAGATAAAATATAGTTTACTTGAATAGATTTTAGTTATTAAAAGGGAATGCAGTTAAAGTAGAAGTCTCAACATTTATGAAGTATGACAAGTAAGCAGTTTATACAACTGTGGCAAACATGTTTTCACATCTGTTTTGAGTAATATCATCATGATTTTAAAAATGATTTATAGCTCTGGAAATTGTAAAATGCCAGCTTTGCTATTATGTGAAAATTTTCAGAAAATCAAGAAATATCATTAGAGTATGCTTCATGTAGCACACCTCTTACCGCACCTTGTAAAATTGGCTGACAGTGTGATTTGTTGTTAGTGTCATCAAGTCCTTTCTGACTCCTAGCAATCCTGTGTACAGCAGAGCAGAACCCTTCCTGGTCTTTTCACAGCATCCTCCCACCTTCCAGTGCTATATCAGACAATGCTTCATGCTATTCATAGTATTTTCATGGCCAATTTTTTCGGAAGTGGGTGGCTAGGTCCTTCTTCCTACTCTGTCTTAGTCTGAAAACTCTGCTAAAACCTGCCCACCATGGGTGACACTGCTGGTATTTGAAATACCTGTGACATAGCTTTCAGCATCACAGCAAGACACAGCCGCCACAGTATGACAACTGACAGATGGGTGATGTGGTTCCCTAACCAGGAAATGAACCTGGACCATGGCAGTGAGAGCACCGAATTTTAACCGCTAGACCACCAGGGATGGTTAGTTAGTGCAATACATGTCTCAAATAGTAATTTGCATTTTGTCTTGAATTTTCATATGCAGACATTTAAAAGTCTGTATGATCTGGGCTTTCATGGCAGTGATGTCCATTCAGACTGTATCCAAAATAAGTTACCAAAATTGCTATTTTAGTTTTGACTCAAGTATTTTGACTAAACCAACTGGTCAGTCAAGTGAAGCCTTTGATTTTATTTTTCCACAGACTTTGTCAAATAAATCGACCAAATCAATTGCATGTCATGATATTGTGTTACATGGTTTTTAACAGTCAGTTAGGGATTCTTTAGAGTAGAGCAATTGGGACTATCCACTGTAGTTTACCCATGTGAAAGCAAAGGCAAAAAGCAAGACCCTCTTCCCTTGGCAGTCACTGGTCTCCTAAATCTCTAGCAGGGATAGGGGCATTTTGATATTTTGCATTTTGTATTGAATGTATATTTTGAAAACTTTATATATTCAGGAAGCACTGGTGATCAAATCTGGAATGCTATAGAAACAGTGGAACAAGAAATTTATCATCTAGCCCAAGACTGGAGTCCACTGAACCATTACATTTTAAATCAGTTCAGAGGCTACAGATGAAAAGCTAATAGTTTTAACATCCTTTGATCATAAAATCTAAAGTCTATCTTATCTAGAATAAAAGTATTATCATATTTATTTTTACGCAAATAGGCTAATTTTAGTTTAGAGGAGTGTTTGGGCTATATATTGACGTTATGGTAATGTAAATATTGTCTATTCAATCAGATGCTTCTCTTTATTCCTGAGACAATCTTAGATACTACGACTGAATCTTTCAGACCTAGTGGCACTATTCAGGTGTTTGGAAATGATTATTGACCCTTGTTAATATGAAAAATATATCTTCTGAATATTATACTTTTTTGAATAAGAAAGACTAATGTGCTGGGCCAACTAAAATGCAAACATCATTACAAATAAACTTTATGATGAAGCTAAAATACATAAAGGAAAGTGAATGATACAGTTTTGTGCATTTTATGCTATTCAGTGATTCTAAATAGAAATGAGAGAGACAAGGAATATACGTTACTGAAAATTTTCTTTGAATTATATTCATTTTTATAACTTTTTATTTAGAAACAGTTGTAGATTCACGATAAGTTGCAAAAAGTATACGGAGAGATCTTGTATACCGGTACTTCAACCAGTTTTATCCAATGGCGATATCTTATATAATTATAATACTATATGAAAATCAGAAAATTTACATTGGTATGTCCACAGACCTTATTCAGATTTCACCAGTTTTACATGTATTCGTTGGTGTGTATGTCTGTATTTGTATCCTTCTATGGAATTTTATTACATATGTAGATTTGTGTAACCACTACCATAATCAAGTTATAGGACTGCTCCATCACCACAGGGGTGTCTCTCCTGCTATTCCTTGATTGTCACCAGGTTGCCTTGCCTTATATTGCAGGGGCATGTGGCCTCATTCTCACTGACCAGTGGTGAAAGTCTTGACTTTCCAGTATCTCTTCTCTGATACCACCCCAGGTAGGAAGGTGAAGGGTACTGGATAGAAGGTGGATGTCTAGGCTCTCCATGTAGTCTCTACTGACACTGTGTATGGATGGCCTCGTTGCTGCTAAGCACTGATTAAAGTCCTGAATCTCCACTAAGCCTTCTTCTCTGACACCACTCTTGTGGGGTTGGGGGGTGGTGAGGGTTTGAAGGGCCTTGGCCCACCTCATTACAACCTGACAAGAGTGAAGGTGAAGTTTCCCACTTGGCCTTTGCTGGTAGGGTGGGGGTGGAGCTGCAGATTTTTCTGAGGTGTTTGCCTGAAGTAGAGCTGTTATTGTCCAAAAGTTTTCAGTGGTACAAAGCTATCCATTCCTGGTCTTTTGGCTAGAGAGTGCACACTTTTCTTGGGGATTTTTTTTGTCTGTACCTATTGGTGTTTATGGATTGCCAGCTTTTCCAGTATTCAGTCAGGGGTATATGAGGCAAGAAAAAAAGCCCAGGGAATTCATGCTGTGTTATTCCTCAGGTCCCGATGTTCCTAACTGATCTACCTTTCTCTCTACGCTTTCAGAGTCTTCTTATGTTTGTTTTATATGTAATGCTCAGGGATTTTAGCTGTAATTATAGGGGGGAATAGGGAAAAGTATATCTACTCCATCTTTTGGAGGTAGAAGTCTTTCCACCTCTTCTGTGTTTTTTTAAAAAATTGAGATGTACCACATATATAATAAAACTCACCCATTTAAAGTGTACAATTCAGTGTTTTTTAAATTATATTCTTAAGGTTGTGCAAACATCGCTACTATCTAACTCCAGGACATTTTCATAAATCAAAAAAGAAACCCTGTACTCATTAGTAGTCACTGCCCATTTCTCTTCCCCCAGAGCCTGGAAACCATTAATCTGATTTCTATTTCTATGGATTTGCCTATTCTGGATATTTCATATAAGTAGAATCATACAATACGTAGTCTTTTGTGTCTGACTTCTTTCACTTAGTATAATGATTTCAAGGTTCATCCAGGATGTAGAATGAATCAATACTTCATTTCCTTTTTATGTCTGAATATTATTCTATTATGTGGATATACCACATTTAATTTATCCATTCATCAGTTGATGGACATTTGGGAT